AAAAGGAACTTTTAGAAAGAAGTATTGCTTTATTTTTAGATTTTTCTTCCTTGAAGACAATTTTAAACAGAGATGGTAACGGTTGCCATGATCATAAATTCTTGTTGATTTCAATCTATCATAAATTATCAGAATGAATTTTATGATGTAGTAAACAACATTTGCACTTGCAAGCAAAGCTTAAGATTTAACCAAAAGATCACCAAAAATAACAACAGCTGAAAGATCTTATGTGTTAGTCATGTGACTAATTTCTAGAAATATCAAATGTAATATATTCCTTCACTATCCTATACATGTATGGTTGAAAAAGAGACACTCTTACACTTCTGAATAAAAGCTAAGGTAGACAAGAAAATTTATTCTGATGATATCAGACCCAATCCATTTCAACAAGAAAAATGAGGGTTTTAATGCCATCTAAAAATATGCTAGCTTGAGCTACTTTTGAAATAATGAAAAATGCCCTTGAAGTCTTGATGTACTTTTGTTATTAAAGCAACTTACACCAATAATTCTTTCATAATTGGTTTACAGAAAAATATTTCTTAAAAACTACACACAAAGTGCTACCCACAATTTCAAGGAATTTGAATAGATTAATCAATCTGTTCATCCATTCATTTACTTAACGTTTCTCATGTCCCACCAGATAAATTCAAACATCTTTTGAAATCATTCATTCAGGAAATAAAGGACTTAATTTTTGAGCTGCTGCTTTATTGATGCATCTATGCATATTATTCCTACTTAAAATATAAACCAGCACACACACACACAATATATATATATATATATATATATATATATATATATATATATATATATACACATTTTACACACACACATATATATATATATATATATATATATATATATATATATATATATACACATTTTTACACACATATATATATATATATATATATATATATACACCCATATTTTATACATATACATACACACATTTTATACATATACACATATATACATACACATTTTATACATATATACACCCACATTTTATACATATATACACACACACTTTATACATATACACACACACACTTTATACATATACACACACATATATATATACACACATACATATATACACACACATACATACATATGTATAAAATGGGAAATAATAAATAAAATGAAATAAAAAAAACCTTAAATATTAAATTTCTTCAGTGGTGTAAAACTTTTGAGAATCGGATTATTAATTCTTTCTGTTATGGTGTTTGATCACAACATCAGAAAAATGAATGAGCAGACATTATTCTACAATTTCAGTTTTTCTCCTTGTGAAAAATTAAAAAAAATGTACTTGTAGTGGTGCTAATGTTCATCTTGCCCAGATATATAGATATTACAAGTCAAATAAAAACAGACTTATCACTAAATCACAGGTGGGTGATGTAGTAAGCCTGTTGCTGTACTATCTCTACTTCCATGGATAGTGCTTGGACAAACTACATTCCCTGGTCTTGCCAATTCAAACTTCTACAGCAAGGACATGCCATACCACTTATTTAGTAGCAAACCACAAACATCCCCTACATATTCCATTAGTGAGAAGTAAGTTTCACTCTAACAGCTTCTTCCTGCAAACCACTACTCTGTTTAGTCACATATCAACACTTGTATGGGTTATTTGGTTACAAAATCTAAATATTTTGTACACAATTTTTATTTTATTTTTTGTGTTTTAGTAGAGATAATGTTTTAGAGATACAAATCTTACTAATTAACCCATAACTGGGGGGGGGGTAAGTGGCAGATTCATATCTTTCGCAAGGGTATTTGCACACAAGTGAATATAACAAGCCCAACTGCAATTTGAAATCAGCTTTCCTAGCCATTATCTATTTATTACACTACCTGCACATTCATACTCACAGCAGCCGGTATTTTCAAGCAGTCACCTATCTAGGTACTGACCAGGTTTAATCTTACTTAACTTTAGTGGTTATATGGGAACCAATATTTCAATATGATGTAGACATAAACAACAATATAGCTAAGAAAACCTTAAAGATTAAAATGCAGCACAAGTTAGATTAATTTCAATAAAATTTTAGAATCTAGAGTAATCCAAGCTTTGCACATCAAAAAGTGTTTAGAGCTATCAATATAATGTTTACAGGAGAATAGGCAGAGCCAATCAACCTCACAACAAAAAGGTCCTAAGAAACTGCTGCAGGCACTTACACATACAAGTATATGTCTTTTAAATTCTCTGTTAACAAACCATTGAACAAAGCATATGTTGTAACTATCAAATATATGTAAATCAGTTTCTTTCTTATTCATTCTTTTCCACTACCATGAGTTATCACTGTTGCTAAGTGAAAGTTAAGAAATCAATTGTTTACTTTCCTTGTGTACACAACATACTCAAGGCAATGAAAGGACAACACTTTTGATTACAAGCATTCATATCATGTTTAATAAAACAAGGCATAATACCACAGAGGTATGAATAAATATTAATGTATAGATATTAACATACATGATTTTATATATATATATATATATAAATGAATGTAAAATATCACACATTGAATGCTGATGCTAATAATAGTTCTTGATGTATAATAATAGAGCTATAATTTATATTAATAATAAATATACATATTTTTCCCCTCACGAGTAGCACAACTCTGATTTGCAATTGTCAGGTGCTGATTGAAACACCTGATGATTGCCTTGTGTATGAAACTAAGAGTTGTGCTACCAGTGAGGAAATATATATATGTATAATCTATTTGAAAAAAATATTTACAAATAAAACAATAAATAAATAATTTATAAATAACTGAAGTTCTTCAATTGACTATTTGCACGGATTCTGAACAGTAGTGTTTTGCTACACATGAATTGCCCCAGCCATTGTGTAGACAATTGGATATTGTGAATTTAACATTAAAATTAATTCAAAGAACAAAATCACTATTTCAATGATTTCTATATTATACATAATTTAAGTAAAACTGAACAAATTCTACATTATTTGGGCACATTAATATATTTAGGCAGTAAGTATTCATCCAAACTAGTTTGATCAAAAAGAACTGACAAGGTTTGATTTTCTATTATATTTTTTTTAATTTTCTGAAACTTTGAAATTATGGATAAACTGTCCAAAGTTGTTTTGATCTGACTTCTGTAAAGACAGAACATGTCAGGAGAAGTTAGGTACTTTCTGGAGCAGTACAGGAAGCTGACTATTTTTCCAGCATCTTCAGTTATGCATCCATGAGTTCCATTTGAGGTCTAATGCAAGCTTGAATCCCAATTGATGTTCAATATAATGAGCCTTATTGCAAGTAAAGCTGTTCATAAGGACTGGAGAAAACTTAGGGTCTTCTTTGTGATGATGAAATTGTACAAGCTTAGTTTTCAATGTCAGAAGTTTCATAAAAGCTACTTCATGATACTTTTCTACATTTCTTACAAGATTTTTAAATTTATTTTTGTAATGTAGAGAGATATGTATGTGTTTACCATGGACTATTTTAAACTTTCTAAGGAATACCTGGATGTAAACAACAGACTCTTGCCTACCACACAGACACCACATGGTTCTTGAAAATGACTGAGACAGTCAAAAGTACTTGAACAAAACAATAGAACAAACATGAACCTTCAACAGTTTATCCACAATTTCAGTTGCAATATACTACATATTATTTGAACATTGGAAAAATGCAATTAAAAATTCAGCAAACAGAGCTTATTGGTTGATCTTAATCAAATTTGCTTGGATGGTTACTTGCTGCCTAAATATACTTTAAACACACACACACACAAATCAGTTACAAAGCCATTCAACTGAGTTTCAAGATATTCAAAATGAACAGATGTTACATACATACACACAGATATGAATATATGTTCATATACATGCCTATGTAAATGAAGGGCACATCAGTGTAGAATAATGTTATTTTCTTTATGCATCTATAGGAAAAATTTATGAACTGTAATAATAAAACTATTAAAATTTGTATTATGCTAAATGCAATAAAACCCATTTGTTGTATCAAGTTAAACAAAAAGTTATTTTTTATATTTTAAGAGGCACACCCTAAAAATAGAAGACAACAAATAGATATAAAAATGGAGATTTTTTGCAAAAAGAAAAAAGCAGTTCCTACTCAAATATTACTGTACAAATCACAAAAGCAAAGTCACTCTAATTTTATCCCACTGTGTATCACATTACTTTCATTGTTGTTTTAGGATACAAAGTTGTAAATTCACACCAATATCAATTTGATGTATTTGGATATAATTAAGTTTCAAGTTCTGGTTCTGCTGTGCTAGCTCAAATATCAGGAGAGAAGCAGGGTTATTTTGCTGACAGTATTTGACATTCCTAAAAAGCCAAGTCATATAATTACAAGTTTAAATATTAAGGATTCGACAAAAAAAAACAAAAAAAAAAAAAAAAAAACAGTATTTTCAATGACATATCACCAAGATCGTAATTAATAATCACAAGGTATGATTTGAATGGCAAAGTACAGACTTAATCCCAAAATTGTACCTCTTTTGAGCAAATATAAATTCTAATAATAAATAATAGTGTCATGCATAAAAAGTCATAAACAAGAATAAAAAGTTTGGAGTCAGCTATAGAGGGAGGCTTAAAAAGATAATCTCAAAGACTAATTCACTAGTGCAGGGAGTTTAATCCTCACTAAGTACACCATTTCTGTAATCCTTGTGTTAGATTAAGCTAAGCTTAGTAAATAACTACTTCAAGATGCCTGTCATCCATTGTTAGTGGAGTGAGTCTGAGCCACACCAGGTGACCAACAACTGTTTTCCTGCACCAGATAAAGCCACAGAATGCCTCACTACTGTAGTCCTGTACCAGAAAAAGTTTAATAGATATTAACAAGAACAGGAAATTGTGGAATATGTACAAGTAACCATGGTGCATTTTTGACTAATGCTTTTTTTTTTTTTTTTTTAAAGCATTTCACCCCAAGCAAGGCGGGGAGCCACTAGGATGCAAGGGGTTACAGAAAATAGGAAGATCAGATAGGAGTGATAGAAGAAAGGATGAGGGTAGTAGATAGATTAAGGCAACTGGAGATGTCGATTGACATTACACTTGAATAGCTGGAGATTATAACTCTCAGGGAAACAGGAGAAGGGAAGAGAGTTCCACAGGCGAGAGGTGCGAGACATGAAGCTATTAGAGTAGAAGAGACGGCTACATTTAGGAGTTTCGACAGTGAAGGGGTGAGAGCGGGATGCCAGCCTCATAGGGCGCTTGAACTCATGAAGTTTGGGAACCAGCGAATGCAGTTCCTCGGAGCAATTTCCATGAAAGTATTTATAGAACAGACAGAGGGAGGCGACGGTGCGTCTGTGAGAAAGTGACTGTAGACGAGACGCCAGGGCAGGGCCAACCATATTGCATATCCGCTTCTGGAGCCTATCAAGAACCCCGAGGCAAACAGAAGGGGCGCCAGACCATATATGGCAGCAATACTCCATGCAAGGGCGAATTGTGGATTTGTATATCTGGAGGATCGACTCAGGGAGAAAAACTTCCTAGCGCGGGCTCAGGGAGCCAACTTTCCTCGCAGTGGACCAGGCAATTGACTCGATGTATTTATTCCATCTCAGGTCAGCAGTCAACGTGAGACCGAGAAGCCGCAGAGAGTTGCTCTCGAAGTTGAGCGTCAGACATTCTAATGGAGGAAGGGAAGGCTCTCTGTGGTGATTAATAGAGAGCAGTTTTGTCTTGAAGCGTTGAAGTTGACCAGTCAAATCATGCCCCAGTTCACAATCGATTGAGGTCCTTTTCGAGACGCACGGCAAGGTGAGTTTTGTCAGTGAGACTGGATTTGTTTTGAGGCAGGAATAAATTGTGGTGTCATCCGCGTAGATGCCAACTTGAGAAGTTACGGCGTCAGGAAGGTCATTTATATAGATAAGGAATAGAGTGGGGCCTCGGATGGAGCCTTGAGGAACACCTGCGTTCGTGGGATAGGAACTGGAGGAGAATCCGCAGAACGACCTTCAATTCACGGTTTGACAGGAATGATTGTATTACGTTATATAATTGACCCGTAATGCCATAACCCTGGATCTTGTGGAGAAGGCCGGCGTGCCAAACCCTATCAAATGCTTTGGAGATATCTAGTGCCACGGCTCGGGCTTCCCTGTTATTTTGGAGAGTTCGGTAGACTGTTTCCGTGATGGCTGTGAGCACATCGGCTGTAGATCTGGCAAAGCGGAAACCATATTGCTTGTCTGAGATGATTATGGGATGTGAGGTGGTTAACCACCCAGGTATTGATTAGAGCTTCGAAGATTTTGCCGAAGAGGGGAAGGAGACTGATAGGACGGTAGTTGGAAGGGTCAGAGGGGTCGCTGGAGTTCTTGAAGACAGGAACGATCGAAGAGGACTTCCAGCAGTCAGGAAAACAAGATTCCTTGAGGCAGTAGTTGTATAGTTTCGAAAGGGCGGGCGCCAGTTCAGGCGCGCATTTCTTTAAGACAATGGCTGGTATCTCATCTCCACCACTCGCCTTGTTGGGATCTAAATTGCAGATAACGCCCAGTACCAAAGTTGGGGTTATGTTTAACCCACTCAATATGGCCTCAGTTCTAAGAGGGAAGTCGGGTATGGGTACACCAGAAGAGTCGAGCATCGAGTTGGATGAAAATTTCCGAGCAAAGCATTCAGCCTTGTCAGTAGAGGAGGTCAAGACTTCGAACTGGTTGAATAGAGGAGGTATAGAGGGTTTGCAATTATTCAATACACTCTTGCAGAGACATAATAATCTTTGGAGCCAAATTTTCGAGATGCAATACGTTCCTTCATTCGAGCCACAAATAGTGACTTAGCATCATTTAGGACACGCTTACATTCGTTACGGGCGGCAGCAAAGAGACGTCTATTGCAGTCAGACATGTCGCTACGGTATAGGTGGAAGTAGTGGTTCCTATGGGCGATGGCGGCTGAGCAAGCAGCCGAGAACCAGGGGCAGGAGCGCGACTTAACCCTATACTTCCTTGATGCTTCATCTTAATTTTAGTTGCTTTATGGAATTTGAAAGGCTGCATGTTGTGTGTATTTTAGGTGTGTGCATGTTCACATATGATAAACAAAGATAGAAGTAAACAAAAACTTGGTTTTCTACTATGGACTGTTTATTCTTTTATGGTGACTGTAGTGAAACAAAGTTCTCAGTATCTCTTGGGCATGTCCATTTTCTTTTTTTGTTCAGAAGTAAATTATGGTAAGTTAGGATAACAATGGTTAAAATGGTCACGCTCATGTCAGCCTTGCGCTGAGGGCTACAGGGCACATCCAAATGATGTTGTAGGAAAGTAGAAAAAGAAAGATTTTGTCCTTTCCAGAAATGAGCATTAAAATTGAGCAGGTGAGCAAAAAACTTTTCTGGTTCCTTTATTAATTGCATCATTGGAAAATGAATTTCATTTTTCTTTTCTTTTTTTATTATTATTTTATTGGTTTTATTTCATTTTCCCACAGCTTTTCATCCAACTATCAAGCTGTCAGTCTACAGCAATTAATAAACAATTCAGCCTGAGTAATGATAAAAAACAATTAAAGAGAAATACTAGTAAAAATGATTTACAATGATTCACTAAAAATTAATGATCATATTAAGAAAGCATGTTTAGCAATGTTTGTTAGGTGTGTGAAAATGTTCCCAGGCTCTTTTTGGAAAACTAAATACTGAAATCTGTATTTTTAATGCTGGAAACATATAACATATTATATTTATATGCAGCTGTATCTCTCAGTAACCAGATTAAGATTCTTTGTCTTTAAAAACCAGGGGTAAAAAACTTTTGGTTACTAATTAAACTTTTAAGATTGTAGTTGTTTATGGCAGTAACATTGTTAAAACCAATTGTGCTGGTTTGCCAGTACAACACACATATGTTGTATCCCTGCAGTATCTGCAAACAAAAAAGACAGAAAGAAAGACAAGATCTGCAGAAGAAAAAAGAGCAAGTAAAAAAGAAAATAAATACCAAAGATGATAGGAGAAAAAACACCAAAATTAAAAATATATAAGAACTCCAAAAGAAAGATTATAGAAGAAAAATAATGGCTGTAGAAGAAACTCTGCTCCAAAAATAAAAAAAGACTACAGCAGTGTAGAGGATTGTAAATTTGATCAAAATTTGGCATAATTTAGTAAATGTTTTCACTTTTCAGTAAGTTTATATTTTTTATGTAAATAGTTTAAAATTGAATGAAACAAAGTAAAAACAAAAAAATATATATATATATATATCTATAATATGAGATAATTCATTTGATTTGGTCAAATGCTTGCAGGAAGGTGGAGTTGGCAATTTTGACCAACAGAAATATATCAATCTACAAAATACCTCATGAGTAAAAATCAAGCAAACATTTTTCAGAGAACCTTGCATATTTGGCCATATTTTTTTGCAAATATGTGTAGCCAAATACAGCTTGAACTGAAAAGTATTTAAATGAAAAGTGGAATATAGTAACTGATACCTTTTCTCAATTCAATTATGCCATTGATGTCTAAGACATTGATGGCAGAATTGAATTGATAAGAGAAATCATTCAATAAACAGTCCTTTTTTGACTGAAAAAATATCAGCAACAGTTAGTAAGTAGAGCAGTGGTTTTCAACCAGGGTTCTGTGAAACCCTAGCTTTCCGCCAGTAAAGCCCAGGGGTTCCACAAGAAGTTACACAAGTACTATGATTGACAGTAATTTTTAATTCTCCTGTGCAGATATGCATGGATGATGAACTTCGTTTGTGTCTGTCAAAAACATGACCCAATATTAAAGATTTGTGCAAGAAACACCAGGTTCAAGTTTCTCATGGAATTTTTAATGAAAATAAATGTAATCCATTTAAACTGAAGTTTTTTAATACATGTTTAATAACCGTAGAAGCAAGATTAAAATTGCATATGTACGTATACAGTATTTTTACAGTTTGTCTTTGTATTTTTTTGTAAATAAATCTGAAGATGAGTTTTTTATTTTATTTTAATAATTGAAAGCTTTTTTTTGCATAAGACAATTTATTGCAGGGGTTCCTCAAGCCACTGGAATGTTTCCTTGTGGTTCCGCTCCAGCAAAAAGGTTGAAAACCACTGAAGTAGTGACACAAAACTAAAAATTAAAAAGAATGATGACGAGAGAGATATTTGTAACTGAATGATAATAATTTATCATCCAAGGATGAATGCATGGAAGGAATTTTGGGCATGAATTATGCAAAGCTAAATGTTAATGGCATCACCAATTATGGTGGATTAAGGACAAGACAGTCAAACGATTAAAACAATCTTTTATTTATCTCCAGTTGCCATTAGTGGAAGTGAGTAGGGGGAAAGGGGCAGGGAACAATTAGTAAGAGTCAAGGTAAGCGGAAGGGGTTAGTAGGAGTCAAAGGAGAATTCATGTGTGATAATAGAGCAGGGGTGGAGGTGTCAGCTTAGTATCACAATAGAAAAGTCACCCATCCCTTCAGAATATGATTCTAATCAGACAATCATGGAAAATTTTAAATTTTGCTTACCCTTGTTGTAATGTTTTCATCAAAAGGAAAATGGAAATCATGATAATTTTTTAAGTGGAGGAGGAAATATGTAAATATTCAATAAAACAAAAAATACATAACTCTTGACTGATAAGAAAATTAAAAAAAGCTTACAACAGAAATGTTTTTTTTATCTACAAACATCATTTTTTATGATATATATGCAAATATACAACAATAAATATCATTAATATTAATTTCTGTTAGAACTTGATTGAAAAATGAATTATACATATTGTATACAAATTATCTACAATTGGTTCTGTCATAGATAAAATACTTTATTTAAAAAAATAAGGATTTGTCTACATTGATATATATTCTGTTTTCTAAAAATATAGCAAATTCCAACAGTTGTGTTAAAAACCATTAAATATTTAACAAAGGTTACCTTGGTAGTAAGAACATTTTTTTTTACTTGGAGACTAAAGATATTAAAAGCAAAGACTTTGTTTTTTTATTGTTGTAGTAGTTTTAATAGAGAGTATGAATCCATCTGGTCCCACTATGAAAACTGTGTAGATTTTTGTTTTATACATCCTTTAATTTTCTGTAACAAAGAATTTATAAGAAGGTAAGAAGATTAAAAAAAATGGTGGGATTAGGCATTTTTATGGCTTCAGTTCTCATTATAATTTTCTAGTTTTCTTAATATTCCCTTAGCTGAGTAAGGCACAAGTTCAGATAGGAAAAAATAAGATGATAAGAGTGTGAGCATTATGATGGTTCCATTAATGGAAAAAATTTGTTTGCCTACCTTGAAACTCAGTCCCAAAATCCTGGCTCTTAATTGAACCAGGACTCATACACACAAGCCAGTGCTCTTGAATTTGACCTTGACTAGATGATCATCTATTGTAGCCTTGTATCAGATTAAACCTAGATAAGATCTAAGAGTACCTACTAAAAAGAGCACATCACAAAGCTGATCTCACAAGCTACCTCAAGTAAATTGATTATCAATGATGCCAAACTTTTGTAGCCTTGTGTTAGACTAAAGCAAGCTTAATAAATATCTAAGAGTTTTTGCCAGAGAGTGATGGTAACAAAGCTACTCACAAACGATTGTAAGTAAATTTAATCTTCAGAGATGATCAATTACTGTGGCCTTGTGCCAGACTAAACTGAGCTTAGTAAAATATATATATTTGCCTGACAGATTAAATTTTGAATTAAGATATGTAAATTATTTTTTCTTTGTGTTTATAAATGCATATATAAAAATATAGTGAAAATTGTTTTTATACTAAATATATGAATATTTTAAGACTGACAACATTGATTAATATATAAGCCAATAGATAGCAATTAATATAAAAGTAATGGATAGCTATATAATATGAAATCAATAACCAGGAGAGAGTTTTCTAAATCTAATGCCTAAACAGGTTACAGATCTGAATCATGATATCCTGTTTTTTTAAGAAAACTTGATTGCAAATTATGAATTGATCTACTAAAACTTAATAACAGAAAAATAAAATACTACAAATGAAATGAGAAAATAGTCTAATGTAGAGTAATGGTTAACAAGATAGTTTACCGCACGATTGTATAGAATTCAATCTTTCAGTAACTCCCACAGAGCCAAAACCTGGTTTATACTGCAACATTACTGAGCAGAGACTTCAGTTACAGTTTCTTGGAGAGTGCATAATCTGGTATGATCAACAGTTTTGAACAAGGCCAGTACACTGAAATCCTTGGCCATGATGACTTTGTGCTAGTACAACCATTGACAAGTTCTGAACAATTCCATCTCCACAATTTCACTCACAAGACTAAGATCAATCCACAGTATAGTTCTGAGCCACTTCCCTAGGGTGCCATATGCTGGGGCTGTCTTTATGATTTGCTGAAACATTGTTGGCTCAACCCAGTTCCCAAAATCTGACCAAACATCAGAATTCCTTCTTAGTGGAGTGTGAACTTTTCAGCATCCAATATATATATATATATATATATATATATATATATAAAGTCCACATAAAGAATTGCATCAATGGAGGCAACACATTTTTATTTTTACACAAACATAAGTGCTGTCACTGCAGAAATACATTACCCAATGCCTAACTGTACTCAAAGCCACATACGTCAAAAGAATTAATGGGTTATTGAGAAAAAGATTTAACTTCAATTGCTATACTTTCAACACAATATGAAAAATATGAGAATACTGGAATAACCTTTGTTTATAAAAACACCAAATGACATGATTGAAAAAATAAAGTTTTCTTGAATATCAAAAAAACAAAACATGATTCCATTCTTGAAAATGACCTATGATAGTTGAAAGCACTTGAACATAGATGTAGTTTTTAGACATTCTGGAACCAAACA